AAAAACCAAACCTCCCATAAGTCTCAAATGATTTGAGAAACCAAGCAAAAGATTAATGACCTATTTTAAAAAAAATAATTTAAGGGAAGGAGAAATGGGAATCAAGAAACAACAACTGCAGAACCTACAGGGCCAAACTCTCTGATACGAATGCACTGCCTAATGCGGTCTGTTATGTACAGCACAGAGGCATGTAGAAAGTAAATATGCTAAGTTTGCTTTCTTAAAATGTCTCCATGTTTTTAGATCCCAAACTGAACACAATTTTGAAAGACAAGGATGCAGCAATTAATTGCTTTAAAAAGTGATGCCATGTTTTGTACATTCAGTACCTCTCAGCTCTTACAGATCTGAGGGCCCAGATCCCACTTCATGGTTCTCCTTTCACATCAGTCACACCAGTCTGCAGCAGGCAGCAAAGCCTCAGCCCCAGCAGGCACATACAAACACATACCCACTCAGCTCAGCCAGTTCCCTCCCTAAAATGTCTGTGAAGAAACACCTTTAAATAAAGCATTTTAAGATCTCCAGCTTGTTTTGGTATGAGCAGGTGACCCAGCTGGGCACATGACAGCCCCGTTGGAAGCAGCACTATTGCCATGAGGGCAACGCACATCAAACACACACAGCAGGAAGATGCTATGCCAAAACAAAAAACCTCATTCAAGATTGCATCTGCTGGCATACATTTACATTCACTTGTCATGACACCCTAGTTTACCCCCCGTTTCGGGAAATCTGAAAGAAAGCCTGCTGAAGGGACTGGCGGCACCGGCAGCACGGGACCAGCTCCTGCGCCCATGGGGACCGATGCAAAGGGCTGAATGAATTCAGCAGTAAAAGAACCATTTCTTTCCAAGGATTTCCCATTTTCACCAAGCTGGAGGAACAACCCTACCCATTTTTCAATTGGACGTATTTCTCTGTCCCATATGTCTCCCCACACCCTTGCTATAAACTGTATTACAATTATACAAAAAAATAAACCCAAATAATTTTTAGCTGATCTTTACCCCACACTTGGAGTATATTCAAAGGCCATTAAATTGGCTTGCCTCCAACCTTCACAGAGATCTTGTCAGGAGGATTCTGGTTTTAACGACATATATATATATATACATATTAATATGTACACTGACAAAGAAGCTGCTCTTTGAGTTAGAAAAGAAATTAAATTTCATCACAGAATGAATCCTATAAAAAGATATGTAATAAAGTTGAAATACCCATAAAATAGCTATTACTAAAGCAAAGCTTTCGTCAATAAGCCTCCAAAACTTTAAATGAAGAAAATGGCTTCACGAAGTGGTAGTCTAGATTTCCACAGTGAGGACACTGCTGGACATTGCTGTATTCAGAGAAATACTGCATGCCAATCCGTACATCTATTACTGGCTTCCCACAGTGCTTACAGTTCAGTCGAGCCTGTAAAAAAACAAACAAACAAAAAAAACACTTTTGAAACAACCAAACTCACCTCTGGAAAAGGAAGGTGACAGAGGCAGCCCCTTGCCCTCCCCAGCAGGAGAATGAGTCAGTCAAGAAATTGGCAGTAATGGAATCTGCTAGCAAGGACATTCCTCACCTGGACTGGTAACTCACAGGTATGCACCACGTATTTCACATTAAATATCACCACCATTCTGGAGAGTAGGTCACGTTCCACTCTGATTGATGGGAGGCAGAGAATTTCAAGGTTTATGTAGACAAATGATTGTTTTGTTTTGTTTTGCTTAATCTCTGAACCAATTCCTCAACCTCCAGCATGAGAAGTGCTGTCTCAATAAATTATTAATGAAGCCCCAAAGCACAGAGAGAAATTTTATATTTGTGCCACGCAATTCAACAATTTCAGCTGACGCTTTGAACATCATCTGTCCATGAAATATATCAGCATTTTAATCTTTTGGCTTAACAAACGTATAACTCAATTTACTTTATCAGCACAACATGGTATTGAGTCACCTTAAGTAGCTATTTAAACATTATAATACTTATCAGGATATACAAACTAAACGTCAAGCACACAACCTATTCTACAGAATCAAGTGAGAAAGAAGCAACATTAACTGGGTGGATATGAGAAATAAGTAAAGGTCAAAGGGGAGGACAGATAGAGGTATTAATATTCAGCTGTAACAAAAAAAGTGAGTCTTTGGAAGGAATCTAGCTGAGAAACACAGCCCATCCGATGTAAAGAAAGCAACAGGCAGCATGAAAGCTCAGCAGGGCTTTCAGAAGAAGCAGAAGGGATTTGAGATTGTAAAGGAGTTTAAGAGTAAAGGTGGCAAAAAAGCAGCAAGGGCCTGAGCTGTACTGTAGCTTAACCTCGCAGCCCAATACGCTAATGAAAGCTTCAGCTTTTCACTGAAAAGAACAAAAAAGTATTGTCTATGGCCATCTTGATTTAAGGGATTTTCCTGGATGAGGAGATATTGAAGTACTATCCCTCTTGAGACCAGACTCAAAAAGAAACTAATCAACAGCTTCACAGCCGTCTGCTCTGCTTGAAAAGCAGAAATTCTAAGTACAATCTACTAGATTATGAATTTTTATTAATTTCTTAGCAAAAGTGTTTTCTCCTTTGCTACTGTCCAGCACATCAGCTAAGTGTTAGTGGCTTTAGTGGGAGCCCCTGGTGGTCTAGGGGAAAGGCACTGCACTGTCACTGCAGAGACCCGGGTTTGATTCCTGGTCAGGGCCCCTCCCCGGGCAGATGGAGCTCATTAGCCCTGTAAGGCAATCCATCTACGTCCTGAGGACCTCGCTGCCACCGTCCAAGCGTGCTTGGCCCCGGCAGATGAACCTCAGGATTAAAGGGTGGGCTCAGTTCCGCGCACACTGTGTCTCACCTAAAAAATCCAATGCACAGGTTGGAAGGTGTAAAGACCTTCCCCGGATCTTCGTTCACGAAGACTGGCCATTCAGTGGCTTTAGTGGCTTTTAGTGACAGTGACTTTATCCTTCATAAAAATTTGTGGTGTAGAATTAAATATTTTGAAATAAGGCATGAAACTATTCAAAATAAAATCAGCAAGGCAATTTGGAGTTAAATCATATACCATATTTAAATGTCATTCCTCTGTATGCATGGAATCACCTGTAACAATCATGGTGAAACAAGAATGTGTATTATCTGGCAATCACAGTCACTGCAGCTAATGATTTTATAATCAGTTCTCATACCACATACTGTCACACTGTCCATTAACCATGTAATTAAGGCTCTTGTATAATGAGCTCTTAATTCTTGTATTATACATTCTAGAGAAGCAATTCAGATTTAAAGTTGCTGCCTTTTACAAAGACAGCAAGTCAGCATCAGTGTTTTATCTTTATAAGTCCCTATTTTTTTAAGTTACATTCTCAATGTTCACTAAATTTGGAGGTAATGTATCTGTCTGTAGCTATAATTGCAATCAATGTCATCTTAACCAGCAGCAGAAACACCACTTGTCTTTCAAGCAACACATTTTGGTAAATACGTCAGATTTAAAATAAACTGACATTTTTCATATTGACAAAATGATATTTTAGAGTGCTCTTAAGTATGCACATCACCATGAAGCAAGCACAGACTGAAAGTGTGCATCTCTGTGAGGCTCCTGTCCTAACCTACCAACAACACCTCTGTGTCTGAGCATCTGGAGTGGACCAACGAGTCCAATCCCAGACAAATGCTTTTTTCACAGCTGTCTACCCCTACCTGCACAGCAGAAGTGCTCTATCCATCACAAAGAAAATTCTATTGAATGCTGACTAACCTGTTGCCTTCGGCACATGTCTACTCTGGAGCAGCCCCAGGCCTTGGATCTTCCTAACTCAAGGTATAGATTAGGTGAGCATTTAATAAAAACTAAGTTGCTTCAAGCTGTGGTGGATGAAGCACCATCACCAGTCAGTCACAGCAAAGATTAAGGAGAGCTGAGTAACCTCCAAGCACGAAGACACTTAAGACCTTTCTGTTCCCTTGGAGCTTCTTTGCTACAATTATGATAAAACATGATTTATGAACTAAAAAACCTGAAAACCTGAAACATCTGCTGAAAATGTGGAATTATATCTGATGCTAGTGATGCAGCATTGGATTTAATTGCAAATGCATTTAAGGGGGCTTTATTTAAAAACATAAGTATTAACCATTGACCATTGCAATGGCTTTTGTCTAGCTATAAGCTGTTGTATTTCTTAAGTTAAGACAAAGGGACAGGGACCCAGTCAGCTTTCTTGTATTCCACTCATAGGTACAGACTGCAAAAGACGGAAGGAGGGAAGGGAGAAGAGATACATAAACCTTGACTTTATCATCAGCAGAAATTCCACCTTGTGAGTCTTATTTACGTATAGTACTAACCTGACAACAGGGAGATGCTGCCAGAATATCGTAGGTATACATAGTTCCCAGCTGATGCCAGCTTCCATCCCATCGGGACTTGCACTTGATGCAGATAATTTTGTGAACCCCTTCTAAGCAGTCTACACAAACAGCATAGAGGTGCATAAGCCTTCCTGTGGACAGGAAAGACATGTCTTCATGAAACAAATCAAAAGATTAAAACAGACACTTTCTGCAATGTGCTATCTGATCTTTAGTGATACAAATCACACCTTTTTTTTTTTTTTTCTTTATAAAGGATGAATGATAAAAGTATAGAAAGCTTCTCTATGGGAAATACATAGGATTTGACTGAAGCTATTTTCCACAGATGCAGAACTCAGGAATTAGTCATCACTCTGCCCACTCTCCCTTCCATCATTTGCTTGTAGAACTTAGCAAAATATTTTATAAAAGGAGTTGC